CCAGACACGTCTGAAACCAATGTGGTACCAACCTACCTACCGCGGAGGGGTGGATGGCTTGGTGAGCCATGAGGGCAAGGTCGATCCACCGACCTTCTGTGCGACGATGAGCACCTCTAACCATTGCGCCAGATGTGGTATTTCTTTTATACATGGGAAAATTTCGCTTTTTGAAGGATAACAGGCTGCATCGCCTTTCTAGACGTTGAAACTTCTATTTTAGACACTAGAGCAATTGAAAAGTCAAGATTACGTTCTTCAGAACTCATATATAGGCTCATATTCACCTATGGATAAATGGTCTATGGGCTGCCGCGAAGTGCGCGAAATACTGGGAACTCAACACAACGACAGCTGTCAGACTGGCTGCAGCTGATGGCACTATGGGCTTATCAAACCAACTCTTTTATAGGTTGGTTGCTGACAGCTACGATAGTCTATACTGAACAAAGAGTGGTAGCAGAGCGGTGGCAACGGTGGTGTGGTGGTAGCATGCGTCTTCGGCATGGGTGAGATATGAGTTCAATTTCCGTGTGATGTCTTATGCTTTACAAATTTTTCAACATTTTAAGAGGTTTATTCCCAAAATTATACCTCTACTAAAAGCGCTGAAATTTCAAATTTATTCAGATCTCACTGAGAACTTAGATATCCTTCACTTGTTTCGAGATTTTAACTCCTAGAAATCCTCGAACGAAGAACTACCTCACAAGAGTTTCATAGACGCTTAAGGCGGTGGATTGAAGTATTTTCTATGAAACTACAAAATTCTCGACTCTTTACTACTTCGCTGAATGAATGAATATTTGTCCATCACGGAACAGATCGGAACGCGTGTCGCATAGTGGTTAGGGGTTTTCTGCGACACAGACTTGATCAATGGTAGATCCTTCGCCCATGGCTCAGCAAGGCTTCCAGCCTCCCCACCCCCCTTCCCCCTGGGGCTGCAAATCTGTACGATTTGAATCATGATGCTTTTCCGTTGGCACAGGGCAAAAAAACAACTTCTTTTGCCGAGCAAGAATTTTTCATTGGAGTGTTAGTAATCATTCGAGAGCTTAAATTTCCGACTACTGTGCTATTTGGTTGCTTTTTGAGGAGATCCTTTTATAACGCTGTAGAAGTCAAAATAAAATTAAGTTCTACACTGACCGCGCACTTTTACTACAAGGTCGCTGGAAGCTTGGCAAGCATATAAACGTGTAAAAGTCTTGTACTATCACGATAATACGTTTTATCTGAGCTTCCTCTCAAAGCATAAAAAATCCCAAATTTAATTACAAAAATTGCACTCCACATGTGAGTCGCGCCAGTGCGATCGGTCACTCGCCGTAACGAACCCACGGCCATCTCACACCTAGTCCACACACTATACGACATACACATGCGCCATACGTGAAACTCCATCTTGTTTTCCCTGATACATTGCGGCGAAACGGTCTTTTCAGAAGGTAAGCACACCATCGTAATCTTCGAAACTTTCGCTATCCAACGGTCGCTCATGAAATAAGGAAAGATTTCTGTGCTACGAGATCTATGCGCGTGTGAAACACAAATACCTTCTCTCGGTTACAACGCTATAAAAAGGCTTTTTCGAAAAATGGACAGGCAACAAGTAGCCCATGATTAAAGCTATCAAATGATTACTAAAATTCTGGAAATTTCTTATCCAACGAAAGGGATCGTCTCGTGCCATCTAACGGAAGAGAATCTGAATTATCTCAAACCAAGCTTCATTGAGTCGAATGAATGGTACATAACCAACGTCAAGAGCTTTATCCTTTACTTTTGTGTGACCGCGTTTACGAATCTTTAAGACAATTTGCAGTACACCATAAACGGTGATGCTCTTGAATCCATTTTCCGGTCTTAGATGTCTTGATAAAGCCTTGAACTATGTCCGTTTACTTATTTGTCAATTACAAGTAACACGCACCCTCTCATCGTTTTCCATAAGGCGGACTCTATACTAATACAATAGTTGGGGAATTAACGACATGTATGAACTGTTGATCGCATGTCTCGCAATAGTTAGAGGTGCTCTGATCGCACAGAAGGTCGATGGATCGACCTCGCGCTTATGGCTCACCAAGCCATCCATTCCCGCGGGTCCGTATATCGACACCCGACTGGTCTCAGACTCATCGGGGAGGATAAGCAGCAGTGATTCGGTACAGTGGGGGCCACTGCGAGTCATTGTAAAGGCCCGATATGCATTCAATCACCTCTAAAGAACCTGAAAAATAGACGAATGCAAGGCGCATCATCAGCGATTGATCAACGTCGAGAGCACCATCCTTTATCATTCATGGACTGTAACATTAGCTGAAATAAAATTTCTATGACCTACTTCGTAATTATATACGAGAAATCCTTGACATCCCGGCTCTTCGACCCCAGTCTGAACAACTTCATCAAACAAGATTCCGGAAGTCTGTAGGCTCTAGAACACATTTGGTTGGGAATGAGAATAGCACTGCCATAGATTTCCTCAAAAATCCTACTTCACTGAGATATTTGCATTGTAGTTCTGCACAGCTGGCCGAGGCGCGGCCAGACAAAGGCACTTCCAATTTCAAGCGGCTCTGTTGCAGTTCCATAGCTGAATGGCGACTCCAGAAAACACGTGTGCGATATCTAAACTATTTGACGTTAAATGGAACGAAATCAACCTAGTCGGAAGAGAACATTCAACGCGACTCTGAAATCAAACAAAGTAAACAACAATAACAGCTGATATCTGAATGAAATTCACGGGTGATGAAAGTCCTTTCTACCTATAAAGATGTTTTCATCGACTTTACTCCCTCTATCTTGTTTGAAATATCAAGGAATCAACAGTTGAAACCTCGACAGGTTCACAAACTGAAGCAAAATTGCTTTGGCAGGCCGATGAAGAAGTAGTCGCGGTTTATGCATTGTTATAGTAGGTAGAATATGCACGATATGAACGAAACGATAAACGACGTCGAAAATAGGGAAGCAAAGGTCTAATGGCGATGGCCCAAATTCAAGCTTTGGCACTTCCACAAGTATCACTCAGGTACTGTTATGGCGACATCGTGTGTCGTGGCACCGCTGGCAAGGAGCGAGACAAGCATGCACAAAGGAAGTCGCCTCTTGTGGGAAAGCGACGGTGCGACGCCGCCTGTCTACCAACGCTGGTCCGCAAAAGAACAGCCTGTTACTGTGGCGTTCCATAGAGCATTCGTTATTGATTGCCGAAGAGTGCTACGACGAGGTTTGGCCCGCGCGCGCACCGTGACGAACGTCACAACACTCGGCCACGGCGCCCTCCGTACAGCAACTGAATGACAATAAATGAGCAAGTAGATAAAAAATGAATAAGTGAATAAATAAATATGTAGACAATTGAATAATAAACAAGAAAAAAAATAAAGCAACAAAATTCGTTGAGATTTGTGCCTAGCGATATTTTCCATATCTAAAGCTTCCTTCCTCACATGAGACGAGAGCGTTAGGGACGGGGGCAGGCCTGCGTACGCGTGCGCGCCGCGACGAGAGTCACCCTCAATCAACGGCCTAAATCAGCTTACATTAAGAGAATATAAGCATAAGCAAATGCTTAAGAAACCGAGAACTACAGCAATTGAATAACAACAAATGGACAAATATACTTAATTATGTGATGTAGAGGAATGTGAAGTTTTGCGCCAGGCGGGACTGAACCCGCATCTTTATCTCAGCGCACGTGCTGTAACCCGGTGCACTACTGACGGTCGCTTTGCTACCACTCTTTCTACGCTACAACGCATCTATCTGTCAGCAACCAACCGTCAACAGTACCAGGTAGAATTCGATATGATCATCCAATACCCAATATCTGTCAACGTGACTGGGTTTCAATGTCGATACCGACTTGCCGAGTTAAACCGTTGACGGTTGGTGGTTGCTGACAGATAGTTGGATTGTAGCGTAGAAAGCGTAGTGTTAGAACAAGCATCAGTGATGCAAGGAATAGATCACGCACCCCCGGATAAGGCGAAATGCGGGTTCATGTCCTCATTGACGCAAAACTTTTGCACCTAAATCTACGCCACAGGGTATACCTGTAACATTAAGCCATCGCTAGAAACGGTCATTCAAAAAGAATTCTTTTGATTATCCAGTAAATAAACATGTAGATTAACCCATGAATAAATGAACAGGCAAAAAGAAATAAATAAATGGACAAATAAAAAATAAGTAAAGCCAGAGAGATTGCTGAGATGCGCGTCTATCGATGTTTTGCATATCCAAAGCAATTCCTTCCTTCATGCGACGAAATCTGACAAAAATAGTTGCTATATGGAAACGTTGAGAAATCCTACACAGTACGATTAACTACAATAGTCCAGAGTCCACATCGGTATAAGTTTTATTAGTTAATGACCACTAGAAAAATATGAAAGAAAGAAAAGAAAAAAGGAGGAGGAATTACGAAAGAAAGGAAAAATAGGAAAAGAGATATGAAAGAATGAAAGAAAGTGAGGAAGAAAGAAGAGAAAAGGAAAGAAAAGGGAAGCAAAAAAAAAGTGGGAAAGAAAAAGCAAAGAGAAAAAAAGCGAAGAGAGAGAGAGAGATAGAAGAGGAAACGGGAGGGAAGAAAGAGGAAAAGAAAGGAAATACGAAGGGAAACAATTTTCAAGCGCAGAACTTCACTTTAAAAGTTGTCACTGCCCGCCGTCTGAAAGAGTAAACTCGCCCAAAGACGGGTAAACTCGTACAAATAGAAAAATCTGGAGCGTTCAAAATATTCAATCATCGACTTCATAGGCTAGGAATTTTCAGTCTAAAACGTAGAGAAGGAAGTCAACTCTGGCGAAGTGAACAGGAGGAACGGATACCATGCATTGAAACCAATTCGCACATCTCGACTCCACTAGCTTTTCCTGTTGTCCGGAGAGAACTCAAAACCAAACCCTTTCACTAAACAAGAACTTTTGTGCGAGTAATCATTTGATATATACCTAGGAAAATTGAGTGGTAGGCAAAAACTCAACCTCAGGCGGGAGTTGAACCCGCATTTCGCCTATGCTGAAGGCGCGCTCCACAATTAAAACACCGAAGCCTTCGCTTACTCGTCACTCATTGTTCAATATTTCTTTATAACTAATCTGTCTATCTATCACAGATCTACTTACCCGACCAGACTTGTTAAAGGTTAATGGCTGATAGTTATGATAGAAAGATACTGAAGAATAAGCAATAGGTAAGCGGTGGGCACTGAGGTGCAGTGGAAGCACGCGTCTCCGGTATGGGTGAAACGCGGGTTCAACTCCCGGCTGAGATCGCATTTTTGCCTGCCACTCAATCTTCTTGGAGGAATGTTTGAGCATCATACCACCGTTCGAAAGCAGTAAATTAAAAAAGGTTATACGCTGTGCACACTCAGTTCGGACTACGGAAAGGAGGCTAGAGAAAAACCAAAGTCGAGCGATCTGTTCATTCTTCTCCGAGTTCAAAATGGGCCGCCGAGCAGCAGAGACAACTCGTAACATCAGCAACACATTTGGCCCAGGAATTGCTAACGAAAAAACGGTGCAGTGATGAATCAAGAAGTTTCCAAAAGGGAATGAGAGCCTTGAAGATGAGAAACGTAGTGGCCGGCCATGGGAAGTTGACTACGACCAAATTACTGAAGCTGATTTCCGTTTAAGACTACACAAGATAATTAGAGAATTGAGTGGTGAGCAAAAACACGGCCCCACGCGGAAATCGAGCCCGCGTTTCATCCTATCCGGGGACGCGTGCTCTACCACTACACCACCGAGGCACATTTGCCCCACCACTCATTCTTCAACATCTCTACGTTAGCTATCAGCCACCAACCTTTAACAGGTTTGGTCGGATATGCGATTTCGCATTATGAATTCCGTTAAGCGGACAGCTATTGTTATATATAGTACTTCGAAATTATAGTATTTTTACTGCTTATTCGCAGTGTTATGATGTTACTTATATAACTTAGAGAATTGAAAAAACGAGATTAGAGAAACGCGGGTTCGATTCCCTCCTGAGGCCGTTTCTGCTCACCACTCGATTCTCTAAGTTATATAAGTAACATCATAACACTGCGAAATAAGCAGTAGAAATACTTTAATTTCGAACTACACAAGATATTCAGAAGAACTCAACGTCGACCATTCTACGATCGCTCGCCACTCGCCAAAAATTTAGGCTATCAAAAAGCGCAATTATTTTCGCACCAATTCTACGGATGTGGACGCAACTTTAGGCGGTTTATTTAGTTTTCTGAGACCAATTTAACTATCCGAAGTTCAAGTCGATGGAAAGATGTATGAAATATGCAGGACGTAAATCAACTGATGAACGGCAACACGAAAATGAGGTAGCAAAGGTCTGACGGCGATGACCTAAATTCAAACTTTGGCACTTTTCCAAATCTCACTTCAAGTACTGTTATGGCGGCGTCGAGTGTCATGGCAATGCGACGACGTGAAGCCACTTGCCTATCAACGCTGGTCCTCAAAAGATTAGCCTGTTATTGTGGCGTTTCATAGGACGTTCGTTATTGACTGCCGGAGAGTGCTAGGGACGAGGTTTGGCCGGCGCGCGCACCGTGACGAACGTCACAACCACTCGGCCACGGCGCCCCTCGTACAGCAACTGAATGACAATAAATGAGCGAGTAAAAAAATGAATAAGTGAATGAATAAATATGTAGACAAATAGATATTAAACAAATAAAAAACAAATAAAGCAAGAGAGATTGCTGAGATGTGTGCCTAGCGATATTTCGCATATCCAAAGCCTCTTTCCTCATAAGTGACCAAAATAGTTGCCACATGAAAAAGCTGAAAAGTCCTACGCAGTACGACACGACCACTCTGAAAGGCCAACTAGAAAAGTCTAGAGTCCACTTTGATACATGTTTTATTAGCTAATGACCACTAGGAAATTATGAAAGAAAGAAAAGAAAAAGAGAAGAAGGAAAGCAAAAAAAAAGAAGGAAGAAATAGATGAAAATAAAGAGAGAAAGAAAGAATGAAGGAAAGAAAATGAAAGAAAAGAAAGGAAGGGGAAAAGTGGGGAAGAAAAAGCAAAAGGAAAAAGAAAAAAAAACGAAGAGAGAGAAGAGAAGACGAGAGGAGGAAAGAAAGAGGAAAGGAAAACAGAAAAGAAGTGAAGCAATTTTTAGGAAATCATCTTTATTTGACCGCCGATTGCGGTGTTATGATGTTTGAATGAACCCAGTGATGTAGAGTGGTGTGCAAAAACGTTTGCGTCACCCGGGATTTGAACCCATATCTGAAAGAAAGATCGGAAAGAGTAAGATTTGGGTTCAAATCCCGGCTGACGCAAACGTTTTTGCACACCACTCTACGTCATTCGGTTTACTCAAACAATTTTTAGGCACAGAGCTCCACCTTCAAAATTATTACTGCCCGTCGTGTGGACGAGTAAACTCTTCCAAATAGAAGGATCTTCAGCGTAGAGATTATCCTGTGTCATTAAAGTCTGATGAGATAATTATACCGTATAGGCTAGAAATTCAGTCTAAAACTTCCACAAGAAAGTTACCACTAGCGAAATAAACAGGAGGAACGGACGGTATGCACTGAAACCAATTCGCACGTCTCTACTCCATCGGTTGCTTTCGATTATTTGTTTCCGGAGACAAACGAAGAAGCAAATTCCTTCGCTGGATAAGAACTTTATATCAGAGTGCGCGTAATGATTTAGAATATACCTAAAAGAATTGAGTGGTAGACAATAGTTTGACCTCAAATGGGAGTTGAACCGGCGTTTCACCCATATCAGAGGCCCGCTCTACCACTACACCACCAAGGCCACCGCTTACTCATCACTCATTGTTCAAGATTTCTTTATCATTGATCTGTCCATCTATCACAGATCTACTTACCTAACCAGACTTGTTAAAGGTTGATGGATGATAGCTATGACAGAGAGATACTGAAGAATGAGCAATGGGTAAGCGGTGGGCACTGAGGTGCAGTGGAAGCACGCGCCTCCAGTATGGGTGAAACGCGGGTTCAGCTCCCGCCTGAGATCGAATTTTTGCCCACCACTCAATCTTCTTGGAGGAATGTTTGAACATCATACCACCGTTCGAAAGCAGTAAATTGAAAAAAGGTTATACGCTGTGCATATTTAGTCCGGACTTCGGAAAGGAGGTCAGAGAAAAAGCAAAGTCGAGAGATCTGTTTATTCCTCTCCGAGTCCAAAATGGGCCGCAGAGCAGCAGAGACAACTCGTAACATCAGCAACAACAACACATTTGACCCAGCAGTTGCTAACAAACAAACAGTGCAGTGGTGAATCAAGAGGTTTCTTAAAGGAGATGAGAGTCTTGAAGATGAGAAACGTAGTGGCCAGCCATGGGAAGAGTTCACTACGGCCAATTGAGGGCAATCACTGAAGCTGATTTCCGTTTAAAACTACACGAGATGTTCAAAAGAAGTCAACATTGAACATTTTACGATGCCCGATAATGTGGAGTGCCGCGCAAAAACATTTGCGTTAGCCGGGATTCGAACGCAGATCTCTCTTTACAGGAGCAATACTAACCGTTGCACCACCGACGCTCGTTTTTCACAGCACTCTTTTTTACGCTATAATGCGTTGTCTGCCAACAGCCAACCGTCGACGGTCTGGCGGAACAGCCGCTATCCACTGTACGTGGCGGTCAAATAAAAAGAATTTTGACTGATTATCGATGCCCAATGTCTGTCAACACAAGTGGGTTCATTGCCGATAGCGGCTGCCCCGCCAGACCGTCGACGGTTGGCTCTTGGCAGACAACGCGTTGTAGCGTAAATAAGAGTGCTGTCCAAAACGAGTGTCGGTGGTGCAACGGTTAACATACGCTCCCGAAAAGAGTAAGATCTGGGTTCGAATCCCGGCTGACGCAAATGTTCTTGCATAGCACTTCACAATATCGGGTATACTTTAACATCATACCATTGCAAGTGGCGGTCAAATAAAAAAGAATTCTGACTGATCTTTTAACGATAGTTCGTCACTTGCAACTCGCCAAAAGTAAAGCAACTAATTCCAAAAAAAAAAGAATGTCTAAAGCCTAAATTAGGTTGGTACGCCAGGGCCATACACCGGTGTTTCGGAGGTTCGTCCTCCTCGTCAGTAACCCCCGCCCCACATCAAGCCCTGCATTGTAGTAAGGAGGGAGGCGTATGTGGTGATGGCATAGTGTACAATGACACTAGTCCATCACTACTGTTCAGTCGATGGATTACGGCTGTTAGATCAAAGTCGACCCATAAATCGACTCTTTTTGAGCCCCCCCCCCTTCTATAAAACAGTCGATCTTATGGGTCAATTTTGATCTACCAGCCGAAATCTATCGAGTGAACAGTGGCGATGGACCAGTGTGATTGTACACTATGCCATCACCACATACCACATACGCCTCCCTCCTTGCTACAATGCAGGGCTTAATGTGGGACGGGGGTCACTGACGAGGCCGAAACCTCCGAAACATCGGTGTATGGCCCTGGCGTACCAACCTCGTTTAAGCTATAGACATTCTTTTTTTGGAGATAAAAAATATGTGAATAAATTAACATATAAATAAGGCATAAAGAAGCCAGAATTTGCGCCACCTTGCATATTCAAAGCAATTCTTTCCTTACATAAGACGAAATCTGACAAAAATAGTTTCCACATGGAAAATTTGAAAAATCCTACGCAGTGTGATACAGGCAGTCTGAAAGGTCAACCATAGTCCACCTTGATATAGATATTATTAGCTAATGACCACAAGGAGAAATGGAAGAAAGAAAAGAAAAAAGAAGGAAGGGAAACAAAGAAAGAAGTAAAGGAAAAGAAATAAGAAGGAATAAAAGAAGGAAAGAAAGAAAGAAAAGAAAGAAAGAAAGAAAGAAAGAAAGAAAGAGAGAAAAGGAAAGAAGGAAAAAGAAAGAAAGAATCGAAAACGAAAGAGAGGAAGGGAAGGAAAGGAAAGAAGGGAAAGGAAAAAAAGGAAAGGAAAAGAAGAAAATAGGAAACGAAAAGGAGAAGAAAGAGAGAAAAGGGGAGAGAAGAGAAGGAAAGAAGAAAAAAAGGGAA